TTCCCAGAAATACAGCAGAAAAATTAAGGGAGCAAACCAACAAATTCACTGCCTAGATATTTCGTACTGTGATCTACTGTAAAAAAGATCAGTTAAGCTGTCTTGGGGAAAATAATGACACGATGAAAGAGGATTTCGATACATACAGTATCTACACACTTAGAGATATTGGCCCTGTATACTTTAAACAAGGTATGACCGACACAGAACAGTAAGTTCAAAGAACTATTTTAATTACAACACCCCCGTTTCCCCATGTGAGTCTACCAGCACAAAGTGTCCCACATAGATTTGAAAGTGATAGAAACGTTTTGTACCCACCACCAAGCTTGTATCTTAATTGCTGCTTTAACTTGTTCTTTGTGAAGCTGGATTTGACTCAGTCTTTTCTGTTCTGTGATCTAATAGGAGCACAAAATCAACTGATTACGGCGCCTCAAAACTTCATCAAAATGACCAATTTCAACGACGTTTACTATTTCACTTGATGTATTAAATCAGCCCATTCTGTCCACGAGTTGTCTAAAACCATCCCTCGCACAAGCACATCAGTCAGGGTTTTCATAAACAACATACCATGTAGAGCGGTTTTCAATTGACTACTGTAAAACCAACCAAAGTATTCACTCTAGCCAATCACAAAGAACACAGACAATTCAATGAACCAATCAAACCTCATAGTAAATACATGCAGCTGTCGCGAAGCGCGGGAAAACGTGAGTGAGCGAGTTATGATGGCTTTTGGTTTTATTTCTGGTTGGATGAAAACGTGGTGCGAGTTTTTAAACCAATCGTGTAGCGTAGCAATGCAAAATCAATGACTTTTCGACACTCAAATGAAAACTTGAACTGTTTTCATAGCTAAAAGTAGGTGAGGTAATAGTAATTCATTTCAAAATAATCTTAAGAGAATTGTTTCATATAAGTGCAGCTACCTGGTGCCAAAGATATTTTATAGCTGTCGTCAACTGTTCCCTGCTTTTGACAGCATCCTCATGTTCTCTGCAATAAGGGCAATGAAAAAACAATCAATACTTCATTCACTTGAAGAATCTGTTTGAGTAACTAACAAAGTTTGCTGAACTCTTTAGTTAAGTTACAAATGTTTACCTCTCTAATGCGCTGTATAAATTGGTTATGAGGGAAATCAACCTTCTGACTCTTAGTTCATTCCTAATGTTGATAACTTTAATGTCCCTTGTACGAGCACGGTATCCCTTCCTACGAAGGAAGATTGACATAAATTACAGTTAATTAGCAGTTAAAGGAAGGCTAGACTGAAGGGAACAGATAGGAAAAGAAGAGGAGGTGATGGGTAGGAACGGAAGGAAGAGAAAGGGTAAGCGATGGATGTGAAAAGAAAGGAAGGTAAGGAGAAGAAAAGAAAAGGGAAGGGACGGGATGGAATGGGATGGAATGGGAAGGAAAGGGAAATGAATGGCAACGAGAGAGGAAAAAAGAGAAAGGGGAGGAAATGAAGGTAAGGATTGCCGTCGGGGAAGAGGAAATTTGAAGGTAAGAGGAAGGAAAGAGAAGGTGGTGGAAGATAAGGGGAAAGAAAGGGCAGATGGGGGAAGAGAATGGACGGCAAGGAAAAGGAAAGGAAACAGTGGGAAAAGGGAAGGGAAGGGGGTTCAATATGATAGATCAAAACGAAATCAATGAGTTTTTGTACCAAACTGCCTGAATGGAGGCTGCAGCNTTTACTCAATATTGAGAAGACAAACATGTATTCAGTAAAATACTATAGCTATGTCAGATCATGTGTACCAAGGCATTCACAGTCGAGTGTCAACTGGTACTCTTGATCAACCCTCAATCGACATCTCGATCAACACTTGATGAACATTTCATTTCAGCCAAACTCAGTCAACACTCAATCAATATCTCGATCGACACTCATTGACAGTCGGTCGAAAGTTGGTCGAGTGTCAGCCTGTTCAGAGGTATCGTAATTGATTGACACTGAATGGTATGTCTGCAAAAATTAGTTGACTCTCGACCAAGATGTTGATCAAGTGTCGATCGAGTGTCAACTGAGGCGCTGGTCGAGGGTCAATGGAGGGTCGATTGAGGGTACTGATCAAGGGTATCATTCAACACCCTACTGTGGATGCCTTTAGTGCACATGATCCACTATGTCTCATAAATGCAATTTTATCTTTACCCATTCTTTTAAGGTGATTCCATAGTATTGCATTGCACATCCCTACTGCGCATGATTTTCACGTCATTAGCGCGCACGTGAGCACGTGCACGTACAAAACGTAAGAGATTTCCCTTGAACTATGCTTGATAGCAAAATAAATCCTCCTTTTCTATTAAACGAGCATGGTGACCCCCACTTTTTATTTCATAATTTCAATGAGAACAATATCCTCAATAACTGAGAATAATAGCAGAAATCTATGGCTACTTTTTTGGCAAATGAAATAAGTACTACAGAGGGAGACATAACGGGCCCAACAGTTCATGTCCAAATTATGTTTCCTTTAAAGGATAAAAAAATGCAGGTACATGTATTGGGGGACATTTTTTCTGGGACAAAGATGAATAAACAACCAAAGAAAGTCAAACCTGTGTGATATAACACGCTGCATTGAAAAATAATTGAGCTTATTTGTTGCCCACGGAGATTACTAAAAGTCACCTAAATAACCATATTTGCCAGCATCGTGGCGTGAAAACAAGCACGGTGACCCCCTCTTTTTACTACGTTTTTAATACCTCCTTGTCCTGCAACAACAGCACACCAAGTTTCATCGGAAATCTATGGCAGGTTCTTTTACTAGGGAATCACCTTAAACACTACGAAAACAAGAGCCCTGTACATTACTTTTAAACATATACCTTTAAGAAATCCCCATTCCATACCTGATCGACAGGATCAGAATCAGAACAAAGATGGTGTAATATAGACACAAGTTGAACATGTTGTCCTTGGGAGGGATGGCCTATCCGCTTGAAAGCTTGATCTAGCAGTCTTGCAAGCATTCTATGTGTCCATGCAAAAGGAAAAATGTTGTAAAACAAAATTAAAAAATAAATAAATAATTGATGAAGGATGGGATGGTGGGGAAAAAAAGGAATAATCAAACTGAATTTCTAACAAACATGTGATAAATTTGTTGCAATTAAAACAGAGGAAAAGAAACAAGGTTTTGTTGGTGATTGAATGAATGACTGCAAAGGNGGCAGTGTGATAGTGGAGTCTCATCCAACTGAGAGAAGATACACCATGACCCGCCAACCGGGGCACTAAGTTTAAGTTTAAGTTGAAAGCCTTGAATGACCATACCACTAGCCTACCATAGCATGAAAGCGTTACAGGGTATTGGTCCAAAATTGCATGTTCTATAAAAGATTGTCTTAGATGCTAGCCGTTATTCCATGCTGTTTATATTTACTAAATGATCTGCTGAGTGGGTAGCAGCTCAGATTCTTTAATTACATTTTAATACAAAAAATAATTTAAAAATTTACATGAATTTAATACCAATCAATCAAAGCCAGCACTACCCAGATCAGTATCTGTTTTCACTGGGTACATGTAATAGTGCACAATATGTGTACATGTACCTCATTAAGGTCTGATATCTCATTATCTGCCAGTGAGAGGGTGCATACTGTGTTTGATACTTGGTCTTTGATGCCTTCCAGTGAGGATATCAGATTTCCATGCAGCAAAAGAGTCTACAAGATACACACAGTGACTTGTTTATAAAATTTTGTATAAAAATGAATTCTTTAATAAATGTTTATCATTTTTGCATTTTCAAGAACACTGTTTTATGACATTTAGTAATGATACAAGGTTGGTCAATAACCATTATTAAGAAAAATGTATTATTGACATGCACGGTTAGAACATACAATACTGTTTTCAAGTGTAGAAAACACACCCCTCCCTGGGTTGAGGCAAGGTTGCAGGGATGTAGATAAAAGCCGGCAGCCGGAAAAAATCGCCGGCTATTCCTAAAAAAATTTCGGCTGATGAATCGTAGAGGGACGATACACAACAGCTAAAAATAGAAAATTTGTTGGCTTCATTCCGCCTATTAAACATATTCTTCCACCTATTCCAATTTCTAACTACAACCCTGGGTTGTGACAACATTTTGAACTAAACAGCTTGAAAGCTGGAGTAGATGGCTGACTATGCCATCTTTTCGTAAAAAATATGATGAATAGCCCTGCAAAGTAGCTTGCCAAGATCATGAAAAAGGTGACGATTTTCACCAGCAGCCCTACTGTTCACAGTTCTGTAGAGAGAGGCACTTTGAGGGTAACAGGCAAGATCCTAACCATTAACTCACTGAGCCAAAAGTCTCTAGTATAGTAGTTTGGGATCATGTTTACTGTAGGTAGTGTCTGTCAACACTATCAACCAATATATCGACCGGCCCTGGGTCGATACGTTGGAAAAGTATCAGCTGGTCGATTTTCAGTCAATACGTCAGCCGACATTCAGTGTACTGAGCTATACTCAATCAACATTCAACAGATACTTGACTGATACTCAGCCAACACTTGAGCGACTGTAAACCAACGTATGGACCAAGTGTTTGTTGATATATCTAACAAGGTTTTGTTGGTGATTGAATGAATGACTGCAAAGGAGACTGTCTATTACTGTAAAGGTTTTAACAATATTGGCACACCTTTTCCTACCTACATGTATGTTCACACTACACAACTTGAAGGCACTAGTGTTTGTCAAGGTTAGCTGTCTTTAACAAACTGACCTTTCTTGATCATTGACCAAATTTCCGTCCAAGTTCCTAAGATTACCACAGCAGTACACAAGATATGGTCTGTAATTCACCTCTCTAGCAAGGAGTTAAGGACTACTCATCTGCGAGAAGTCTAAATTGATTTGCACACTTGCAGGCTTTCCAATTAGACGCATTATTGTACTTGATCACTTGATCGACAAGATACTCGGTCAACACTTGATCAACATCTCAGTTGACAGTAGGTGGAGAGTTGACTGATTTTCACAGACACATCATAGTGTCAATTGATGCATAAGATTTGGTCAACACACCACCATCTATCGACTGACTGTCAATTGAGTGTCAATTGAAATGTCGATCGAGTGCTGGCCTAGTGTCAACAGAGTATTGATTGAGGTGTTGACTGTGTTGATCAAGATGACGATCGAGTGTCAATCAAGGGTTGATTCAGGGTATCGATCGACACTTGACCGCGGATGCTTTTAGTACATTTTGTAGACATGATCCATTGGTTACAACTTGCAGGAAGAAATTTAAAACCAACCAATAGTCTCTGCAAGACATGGCACAGACCTCTGTAGAGTTGTGTTATTAACATGGAACTATTGGGATCTCATGCTTCTTTCAAGCAGGGGCAGAATTAGCAAACAANACTGACCTTTCTTGATCATTGACCAAATTTCCGTCCAAGTTCCTAAGATTACCACAGCAGTACACAAGATATGGTCTGTAATTCACCTCTCTAGCAAGGAGTTAAGGACTACTCATCTGCAAGAAGTCTAAATTGATTTGCACACTTGCAGGCTTTTCAATTAGACGCATTATTGTACTTGATCACTTGATCGACAAGATACTCGGTCAACACTCACTCAACATCTTAGTTGACAGTAGGTGGAGAGTTGACTGATTTTCACAGACACATCATAGAGTGTCAATCGATGCATAAGAGTCAGTCAAACACCACCAACTATCGACTGACTGTTAATTGAGTGTCAATTGAGATGTCGATCGAGTTCTGGTCTAGTGTCAACAGAGTATTGATCGAGGTGTTGACTGTGTTGATCAAGATGACGATCGAGTGTCAATCGAGGGTCGATTCAGGGTATGGATCAATCAACACTTGACCGCGGATGCTTTTAGTACATGTTGTAGACATGATCCATTGGTTACAAATTGCAGGAAGAAATTTAAAACCAAGCAACAGTCTCTGCAAGACATGGCGCAGACCCCTGTAGAGTTGTGTTATTAACATGGAACTATTAGGATCTCATGCTTCTTTCAAGCAGGGGCAGAATTAGCAAACAACTTGAGAATTCTATTGTATTCTGTGTA